TTATTATTTTAAATATCAAATATAGAATAAAATTAAGAGCAGTAATTTTTTAAATACTATTGTCAGAATTTTCAAAATTTGATTGAATTTCTTTCAAATCAAATGTTGTTAAAGTTGAAGGATCTTGAATAATTCGAAACTTAGAAATTAAAATTTCCTTAAAAATCTGAAATTTTTTAAAGGCCAAAGATTTTTTGAAAAAATCCAAAAAATCATTTACGAAACTTTTGCATCTGAAGAGTAATTTTTAGAATCAAAAATTTCCAAATATATATACATTTATATTTATTTATTTATATTTATATATGAAAAAGTTAATTAGTTAAATTAATTTCAGTTTTTAAGTTTTTCAGAAATATTTAACTTTTTAATTTAATACTTGAAAAAATAAAAGGTTTAGACTTTTTTGATTGTCTAAATTAGAAACATACAAAAAACCAAAGAAATAAATTTTTTCCTCGAGTCATTAAATCTAATGAATCAGTTAATAATGGCAAATATTTAATACTTAATATTCAAAGATATGAATTATTCGATTTTTCCATTTCTTGTGTTTATAAAAATGCTTTAGCTGTTTTTTTACAACTCAAATGTTTAAATAGTGGAATCAATCTAATTTGATTCATTGGATAAATTTTACATGAATTTAGAAAATTAATTTCAAATTAATTCCAAATTTGAGTACTTAATTTTTATCCATTGTCTTGGTAAGTATTGAATTTTATCGAAATGCTAATATTAGTAGGACTTATTTATCACATTTATTTTTCTTATATTTTTTATATTTTCCGTTATATCAATACAATTCATCAAAAATGAATTTAAGTATTCTTAAGCATTCGTAATTTTTTGTGCATCTGTCATAATTCAACCATGATTTAAAATTATTTCCATCTATTTTTTCAGTAATTTTAATAAATATGAAATTTAAAAAAATCTTTTTTAATTTTATATTTGTAAATATTAGTATGATATAGTTTTAGCACTGATAAAAAACAAATAATGCAAAACATTTAATTTCAAATTTTATATTTATCAAAGTTTAAGTTCATTTTTGCATAAATATCAAGATTGTTCTAATTAACTATTTTCCAATATTCGTAAATTTTAGCATAACGTAATTAAGAATAATTGAATAAAGGAATAAATAAATAAAATAATTCTTTCAGAGAGCAAATTTTATGATCTAAAATATACAAAATATTAATGCAGTCCATTATTTTAATTATTTAATAAAAATATACTAATAAAAGTAAGTATGATTATAAGTATAGATGGGTGATTTATATAATAATTATTGATCTTTTTAATTTTAATTATTAAATAAAAATAAGTTAATAAAAGTGAATATGATTATAAGCGTAAATGAGTAATTATTATAGTAAGTATTGATTTTTTTAAATTTAAATTTCCATAAACTTTTGAAGCTTTTGTTTTTTATTCGAATTTGCAAATAATATGCAATCTTATCTCATTGACTCTAAAAAAACTTTCTACTCAGTTATTATTTTTAATATTTGTCTTCTAACTTCTGTTTTTCTCCTTATATAGAATTTACTTATACTTTACAAAGTGCTCGACTTTTCCGGATCACTGAATTAATCCAACAACGATTTCTGCTTGCAAACTTATTTCCTACTGACATCATCAAATTGTGTGGAATTACTTTTTTTCATTTTCAATTTTCGCTTTCCTTTTTGATTCAAACTTGTTTTTCTGAACTTTTATCTGTTCGAATTGAGTTTTTAATTTTCAATTTTTGCATAATAATATTTATTATTATTATTATTCTGAATTTTTAATACATATAAATAATATTAATATTAAATTCCATTTAAAATATTTTCAGTTGAATTCAAATTTGTTTTTCTAAAAAATTAGAAATTGCAAACCAAAAATTTTAACTTTTTACTGAATAAACTGTAAATTGTATGAGAAAGAAATGTAGTAATTATGTTTTTGTTAGTTAAATGTAAAATTTTGAAAAAATTAAAAGAAAGTACTTGCAAGTAATTAGTAATATATTTATTTATATTAATATGTATTAAGTAAATTAGATTAAAAATAATATTCAATCTTAAATATTTGTGATAATAATGTTAATAAATAATACTTTGTAATAAAGAAAGTAGAATCCTCAATAACTAAAATATTGAAAACAACGAATGTCAATTCTGTTAGTTATTGATTACAATTTATACTAATTATTACAATTACAATTTTGATTACAGTTTTTTCAATCTTGTTTTGATTAATATTTTTAAAAATTTTTGCTTACTGTATTTTAAACGTAAAATTTCGAAAATGTTGTAAAGTTATGTTTTTGTTACTCTCACTGTTATTAATTAATAATGAAATGGAAATCAAATATTTATATTTATTGATTACTAGCCTACATTTTCAATTATGGAATATAGTTTGTATTCTAAAAACCATTGTAAAAAATTTTTACGTCAAATGTCAAAGTTATATTTCCAGCAATATCGTCATACAGTATTCTCTTGGATTTAATTCGTATAATTCATTCGTATATTTCACTTCATAACTCTTACGATATGTAATTCATTTCAGATTTTAATTCTTTTCTTGTTTTTGTATTCTCGAATTATTCCATTTTGTATGAATAAATTTGACAATGGCAATATTCTGTTTATTTTTAAAGTAAGTAAAAAATAAAAAGCTTTAATTTATTTTTGATTAATTTTGTATATATTTTACTATCATGTCTTGTTTTCAGTTATTTCCATTTGTTTTATGCTTAACAATTTTTTTAAGCGTTAAAGACGTAAAAATAAACACACACACACACACATAATATTAAATCTTAGAAGTTGTGTGTAAAGTTTTTAATTATTAAGAATTCTACTTTCTTTATTACAAAGTATAGAGATTAGACGTAAAGATGCGTCGTTAACTTTGGATTTATTAAAAAATATATAGCGTACTTACTTTTCATATTTTTTCTTTAATTTCAATAATTCCGTAATAAAATGTAAATTAAACAAACTTTCTATGCTTTGTTCTAATTTTTCTGTAACAATGCTAAATAAAATAGTGATAACGTCAATTTGTTTATTTTTTATCATTGGTAGAATTTTTATAAGCTTTTTGCTAATTTAATAGAACTGAAATGTGTGACAATTTTCGATTTAATTATTTTTAAGCAAATTGACTTTTTAATTGTTCAAACAATTAGCTATAAAATTGGAACCTAATGGTACTTTTTAGGTTCTTTGACTTATTTCCAGGATTAAAAAATTCACGATTTGGTAGTAAACTACCAATAAAACCAAATTTGTTTTTGATATATCTCTTTATATTAAGCGATAAAAAAATGCTTTTTAAAATTCAGTACAATTATATTATTTGAACAAGAGAAGTTAGAAATGTCGACAATAATATTGAGATATATTTCAGCGCATTTAAATCTTGAGGTAAAATTCAAATTACGATTAAATATATAATTACACCTTTGATAAGTTCTGTTCAGTTATTTACAAAGTTAATTGAGTTTACGGTAGATTTATTTTAAAAACTTAAAAAATCCTTATGAGATAATTTTATTTCTGTAAATAAGCTAAATTAAGTTAACAAAATATATGTAATAACAATAAACAATCGCAAGCAAAATTGTGGATATGTATAAATTATTTCAAATGATAGTAAGCAAATTCATGAATAAAGTAATATAAATATGCAAAATAACATATTATTAAGTAATTATATGTTAATATATGCAAATTAAAAACTAAAGATGGAATTCATCAAATAAACAAAATAATAAGTAATTATACGTTAATATATGCTATTTACTCACTTTAAAATGAAATTTTGAGAGTGAAAAAAATATTGTAGCGAAAAATAAATTTATTCATTGTAGATTATAATAATTTAAGCAGAAATTAGTTACTGACTTTAATTTTTATTTTTTGTTTGTTTTTATTAATTAATATTTTATATTACTTAATCAAAATTTAGCTTCCAGCAGTTTGTTTAGCTTTCATTCACTTCAAATAAATTCGATATTAACTTTTCAAAATTTCTAAATTTAGTTCAAATATGAAGCTAAAATAAGTATTAGTATTTTCTATTAAACTTTTAGTTATCGGAAATTAATCTTACTTTTAGCTTCTCGAAAATTTTTGACTATAAGAGTTTAATTAAGTCTTATTTATTATTCAGAAATTTTATAATACACACCTTGAATTAATTGTAAGTAAATAAAAGCTGAAATGAATAACAACTTTTTGAATAGATCAAAAATGAATGATAACTTTGCCAGTACATATCGAAGATTTCCCGTAATTTAAATATTATTGTCAAAAAAATGAAAAACTTAAATTTATTTACTACTAATTAAAATATATCTTACATTAATAAAAAAACAATTTTTAAAATTCATTCACATTTAAAATATGTGAATGATTTTTAAAATATGCAAAAATATTTTCTAGTTATCATTTTGAATATTTTTGATATTTTTATTTCAAAAAAGTTGTAGTGCATGGAAATTATGTATTCAAATTTTAACTATTCATTTAAATGAATTATTTTTGAGGAATATATATTTTTCAATATTTTTAAAAATTTATTTTTCATTATATTTTGCCTGTACATTAAAAAGGAGACTTTCTATTTTGATGAACTCTTTTTTATTTCGTATTTTAAATTTGTATTTGTATTTTTTATCTGTATTTTAAATATTTTTGTATATTTTAAAAAGTATTTTGAATTTAATAAATTTATTTTTTGGCACATATTCTTAAAGCTATTTTGAACTTGTTCACAGTTTGAGAAATGTTATATTATATTTGTTATATTTCAAAGTCTCAAGAACGATTATTCAAGTCCAATCAGATATGTGATTTCAGATGTCTAAGGCTTAAACTTCCAAGTGATTATATATGCTCTAGAAGATACCTTACAAGTATTTAAGTGAAATATATTTAAATTTGTCAATATTAAATACTGTTATTAATGGATAACCCACAATCAGAACTATGCGGAGATGTAAGTTTTTATTATTATTGTAATTATTACTATTTATAGAAGTGAAGTGTAATGCGTACTCAGTTAAAAAATTTTTTTGAGTTTTTTATTTTAGTAAAAGTTAAATGTAAGCCATTGGTATTTATCCATAAATATAAACTACAACTGTGCAATTAAAATTTAAATTTCGATTTTAATTGAATTGAAATTTCAATTTTAATTTTCTAATGCATTCATTGAAATTATGATTAAATTTTTAAAATGTTGAATAATCTATTATTTTATTATAATTTGACACAAAACAGCAATCGCAGTAATTGGTCTAATTATTAATTAAATTTAATTAAAGTTTATTAGTTTTAATAAAAAAATATGCAGATCAGTTAATTGATTATAAAAATATTGTCATTATATTTGATCGGGTTTTTGATTACGAGCAGTGCAAAAGTTCGATAAATACGATTTTTAGACATTATATTGAATTTGTCCATTTTAACTTTTTAAAAAATTTTATTCTAAAAAAATTGTAAAAGTAGAGTAGAGTAGTTCATTTTTTTTAAAAAGTTAAAATAAACTTTTCGTAAAATTTTTAGTATAAAAATTTTTAATCAAATTTTTCAGAATAAAATTTAAATTTTAGTTATGAATCAATGTATAATTTCACGTTTTTACGAATAAATTTAAAATTTCGAATTAAATTTAAATTAGAATTAATTTCAGTTCGAGCATTACACATTAGCAAGGTTTATCTTTTTAATGCTTGCATCAGTAATTGCATGGATTGGTACTTGTGGTAATTTACTTTTAACATATTTATTTATAACAAAAACATATCCAAATACTCCGTCTGCGCTATATCCAACTGGTAAATTTTCAAATTATAAAATCAAATTACTATTTTGTTATTATATTAACTCATTATTTATCTGTTTATTTAATCATTTTTATAACAAATAAAAATTGATTACTTTTAGTGTTGTCAATTTTGGATGCTTTAATTTGCATATTATATATTATGTTATTTAGCGTGGATGCTGCTACTGTATATCTCAGGGTTACTGTAAGTTTTTTCAGTTGAATTTCAGTATATTTTCTTCTAAAACTGAAAATAAAACAAAAAGATAATCGTTCTTTTTTTGATAACATAAAATTTAATAAACTGAATGAATCAACTCAAATTTGTGCAAGACCTTGATGTTTATCCAGTTTCTAAAATTAGATTTTCAAGTTTTATATAGACTTTTTTGCATTTGCTGATCAGTTCTCCATAGTATTTTATTGATTGATCGGTCAATTTAATTTAATAGTTTATTGATTGTTTGATTGATTTAATTCGAAAAGTATTATTAATATTTTACAGAGTTTTTTCATAATATATCATATTTATATCGTGCCAGCTTATGTGGTTAGCAGGATAACACAATTAGCTATTCCATATGTATTAATATTGAGTACATTAGAGCGGCTAGTATGGATATCAGGCGAAAAAACGATCAAATTTTTGAAAATAATTTATAGTTATCGCGGACATCAAATTATTGTAATCTTATTACTTATATGCTGTATTATTTCTCGTCTGCCAACAGCATTTGCTGTACTTGTAAGTAATATTTTTAAACTATTAGTAAATAAGTTAAGAGATATAATAAATACTTAATTAAAATTAACTTTGAAACAGGTTTACTTGTTTATTCAATTATATTATTAAAATTAAACTTTATGCAATTATCTTTCAAATAATCTAATTATAGTATTGAATTTACAATTATATAATTAATGTTTTTTTTTCTTTTTCTTGAAAAAATAAAAATAAAACTAACGCGTATACAAAGATTTTCAATAACTTGATTGCTTGGAAATAGTTTTTAGTCAGAAATAATCAAAGATTG